AAGTTGTAGCTCAATGGTCATCTTGTCTTTAAGCGCCTGCATTCTATTAATCAACCTTATACTAGTACATCTATTCTTCAACCATTCTATGATTATTCTCAATACATATATAAAAAAATCTAGCAAGGCCTAAGTTACTTAATTCACTTAAAAGCTTATTTCTTTTACAATTGCTTATTTCTTTTACAGATAGAGTTATTTTTCTTCATAGTAGATAGTATGAAGCTATGTTTTGGATTTGTGCTAGAAACAGTGTTGATAATACCGGGATGTTTTTGTTATTGCTGAGCAGCGCTTACAGAGTCAAAGCCTTTTCTGCTTCTCACACCACTCCACTGGCGAGTAGGCTGGGGGTGCAGAAGAAGTTGGGAGGGGACACAGATGGGACAGTTGACCCCAATGGACCAAAGGGATATTCCATACCATATGATGTCATGCTCAGCAATGAAACTAGGGGGGGAAGGTTGGTGGGAGGGCGCTGTTCGGGGACTGGCTGGGCATTGGTTGGTTGGTGGTGAGCAATTGTTTTCATTTGCATCATTTGTCTTTCTTGGGTTTTATTTCTCTGTCTTTATTATTTTCCTTTTCATTACAATTTACAATTATTATTTTTATTATTATTGTCATCATAATCATCATCATTTCATTTCAATTATTAAACTTTTTTATCTCAACCCATGAGTTTTCTCACTTTTACCCTTCTGATTCTCTCCCCCCATCCCACTGGGGCGAGTGAGCAAGTGGCTGTGTGGTGCTTAGTTGCCAACCGGGGTTAAACCATTACAGGGTATCACAAAGTCATTTCAATGGCCTGAGATCTCTTCTGCCTAAGGATAACTAGGGGACAACACCATTTTGGAAAGATATCTGTGTAATGCATGCTACTGACAAAGCTGTAAAGCAATCAAACTAATGTATCTTTAAATTGGTTTGGATTTTGTATCTGACTGAAATTGCTAGTGACTGGTAGTGTCGCCATTTTTGATAGCCTTGTGAGTTTGCTGTCTTTCTAATGTCCAGTGAACAAATAGCTGCATCATAAAAGCAAAAGACATCAGCTAGGATCCTCCCTTATTGGCAGAGCTGGCAGGGTTGACAGGGAGACCAGGGGCTGAACTGAGGATGCAGAGCAAACACTACTTTTCCTGGGATGATTATCTCTTTGGCAGAAGATTTAAGTCAGGGCAATATTGGGGCATTTGTATTTACCTTCTTGGACCTCTGATGTGAATCAGAAGAGAGCTTCAATTTTCAAAGTTGCTAGCCCAGTGCTTTTTCAGAGCACTGAATTTCCATTAGAACAAGCCAAATTTGCAACTGATTCATTGTCATCATGAAAAATGCTTATTCTTTTTGTTTCGTCTTTTCTTATCTCTTAATTCTGGTTTTGAATTGTTGTACAGAAATGTAGTTTAGCAGACAGTATATTTCCTATGTTAGTGCTTCTTTTTTTAAAATTATTAATCAGCCCTTGTCCTTAGAATGTAAAATGATTATACTGGGACAAACTGTTTAGCCTAAGCTCCAATTTGTTATTCCTCTCACATTTGCCGCAGCTTGTGCTGCAGATCAGAGGTTACTTGCAAACAGGCTGTTTAAAAACCTGTATTTCTTACCGTGCAGCGCCATCGAAGGCTGTCAGGGAAAAATGAATCTGAAATTTAAGCCAAAGGTGCTTGCTGCCTGTGTGCAGCCAAGGGCTGTTTCAGATCTAGGACTACAGGCTCAAAGTCACACCTGATCTGTACTTGTTCTGGCTAGCATAGACTGATGTGGATCCAAAGGAATCTCTGTCAATGTTACTGGCTATTGCAGATACTAAGGAGCTCCTAATTCACAGCCAGCACCAAGAAGATAAGCAAGATGCATTAAAATAATCCAAAAGTTTCATTAGACACATGCTCCTCAAGAAAGCTAGTGAAAGAAGAGCTCTCTAATTTAGCAGACTCAGAGCTTCATGCTTGAGAAAGGTCATTAAAAGAAAATATCAGTGCAATAAAGAGGTACAATGCTTTTCAGTAGGAATTTGCCTCTGAGTCTTGGTTGGGAATTTCATATCTTCCCTTTTATTCCCCCCACTCCCTCAGCAACAACTGTATGGCTGCCTGTGGCAGAACAAGTGCAGTTACCTTCTTTACCTAGTAACAGATGCAATCCCAGCAATGCTACACAACCTCCTTCATCTGTCACTTTGCTCAGGAAGTTCTTACCCTGGGGCAATTTTAGTATCATATTTCTAATAGATAGTGTCAGAATTGATCTCACAGATTTTGATTAATTTGCAATTCTTCCAAACTCCTATGCCCTTCCCCAAGGGACAAATTAAGGCTACACCTCACCTCTATTGATTAGAAAGGTGATTCTGAAACTCCTCTTTGTAGGAAGGAAGGGATTTTTGAGAAAAAGTAAAAATCAGTTCTAGGGATTTTTTTCAAGAAAGTTCAGGAGAGAAGGGCAGAGGTGGTCTCTGAAAGATTAATCTGTGTTAATGGAATAAAAAAAGGCTTCTGTTGTCAAGGACAATAAAAAAGGTTTCTATAAATATATTATCAATAAAAAGAGGACTAAGGATAATCTCTGTCCTCTAGTAGATGGGGTTGGTAACATAGTGACAAAGGATGAGGAAAAGGCTGAGGTATTTAATTTCGTCTTTGCCTCAGTCTTCAGCAGTAGGACCAGTTGTTCCCTGAGTACACAGACCCCTGAGCTAGAAGACAGGGGCGGGGAGCAGAATGAAGCCCCCATAATCCAAGGGGAAATGGTGA